GAAACAGGAAGCCCCAGCTCTGCCCTGCCCTGGCTCTACACCATGGAGCCTGAGTGCCAGAGTTGCCTGTTAGGGAAAAGAGCTGTTTCTCCCTTTTCCAAGTAAAAGCAGTTGTCACAGGCCAAGTCTGAGGTTGGGACCAATCACCCCTGTGCTCCTCATATATAGCAATTATCTGGTTGGTAGGGTGGGTCTTTAGGACCTCAGACCCACAGGTTCTGTGTCCAAGGCAATCAGGTCACTTCTACCCACCCTCCTACCTAGAAATCCACAAGATTCTGATCATTGAAGGAGAAGGAGAAGCCTGGAGGAGTCTGACCTTGGTGGCTGATCAAACAGCTACTCCAGCCTCGAGTATTATGCTTCATTGCAAAGGCCAAAGACTTCCCTATCTCCTGGAGGTACTCCCAAGCTCTCCACTTAAGTCCTGTAGCCCAGCCCAAGCTGGGAAGGAGAGGAAACTTGACCCAAGGACTTGCAAGAGGATGGAAAAGCTGTCCTTTGGGTCCCTCACTCAGCGCCCTCCACTAGGCAGCCCATGTGTACCTCTCCTTGCCTTCCAGCCACTGTGTACGCTATTCCCTCTTCTTCAAAGACTTCTTCTTGGACCCACCTCCAGAAAACAAAAGCCCTACAAAAGGTTTCTAGTACTATGAAACTCCTGCAAGGTAGGCAAGGGCAGGTTTTCTGTATCCAACCTGTCATGAGGGTTTTAATATAAATATATTATATTATAATTAATATAATTATAATATAAATAATATAGATATTATTAATATAAATATTACAGTTTATATTTTAATAAATTTTTATCAGCTATCTTCTTTGTGCTTCACCTCCAAGGCAAGGTTGTCTTGAAGTTCAGATTTTAAATCCCTGAGTCTGAGAGGTACCAGGAAGTTGGGGACAAGTGGATTTTCTTACAAAGGACAGCCATGCAAGATCAGAGCACCTGCTTCCAAGCCCAAAGCCCATCCACATCTTCCAATACAGGCACTAAAACTCCCACACAATAAAAGCATGGTAAGCTTCTGACAGAAAGGCTCTCACAGATCCTCTAATCCAACTTTATCTCACTACAGGTGAAAGGCTTAAGGAAGTGTGAAGAGAAGTACGACGGCATGCTATGTGTCATATAGCTGATTTAAGACCAAGCCAGGATCCTAACCAGGTTTTTCCTCAAAATAGCTTCTTAAGTGAATTAAATAGTATTTTATAAGTGAGCTGCAAATCATCCACCAGAATGTCCTAGTAACATCCAAGCCATTTGTTGATTTGTAGAAATGCTTTTCAGAAAGTGTTGGTATGCTTGTTTCTCATTGTTGAAATGCCACAGCTATAACTGATACTCCTGAGCCAGGATTTTGACAGAGGAAACTGCCTCAGACTTTTTCAGTGACTTCCCAATGGAATCCATAATCATTGGGACCTGGTTCCTGGTGCACTGTTAGAACTAGAAGATGGCTCAGCACACTGCCCACACTTTAGAACCAGGTACGTGGTCCTGCAGGTCAGCATTTCCCGTGGGGACCCAGCCTCTACTGCCTACAATGGTGCCTTCAACACTGCCACTACCAGAAATGCCACCATGACCACCTGCCCCATCACCTGCTTTGCTGCCACTGTCAGAGCTCTGGTGCTGTACAGCAGGGGGCTGACAGCCCCCTGCCATCATGTCACAACCTACTACCCATTATCACCCCAGCACCACTCCACAGCCTCTATGGTGACGCCAGCAGTCATGATGAAGTCTCCAAAGTGGGCTTAAATGAATGAGCTTGTTTGAGATTAATTATATTATTGGTTAAGTCTGATGCTTAATCCAGTTACTATTTGCCAGCCAATATTTTATATCAAATAATCTATTAAAATATGTGTCAATATTTTAACAATTGGCTCTATAGCAGATCTGTTTATGACCCAGTTCTCCTGACTTAAGTCCAAGTTGCCATCTACTTATACCATGTGACCAACCTATGGAGAAAACTTAGCTGGCCAAGAATTTCCATCTTTCAAGAGACACCAATAAGGACTTCTAGAAAATCATCCAGAAATCCATAAAAACACGTATTATTATATACCTACCTACCCTATGTTCATCAGTATGCATGCCCTAGGACTCCATGAACCTCAAGCCTTGTGACCATATCCTTTAACATGGATTACATTTTCCCACTGCTTGTCTCCAGCTTACCTTGATAAAATAGAAGGCATGGAAGAGAGAAGGATTAGTTCTTCAACTCAAACATGTTATGTTTCTATAAAGATCTTTGCAAGTCAAGAACTTTATTTCTTTTTTCTGTGGTAGAAAGAGCCAACAGAAATAGTTGAAAGCAGGAATAGGGAGAAAATGCTCTAAAGATAACTGTTTGCTGTCTTCAAACAGCTCATTTCCTGCCAGAGGACTACAGCAGTGTTCTCCAGACAGATGGCTAGCTCTTTAGGTGTATTCATGGAAATGCTCTCATGTCATTCTGGTCTCTGTGAATGTGTCTGGCACCAAAACTTTCTACCATTCTGCACACACATAGCGACTCTTCCTTGGAGACCCAATCAGGCAGGTGACATTGGGCTTGTTACATGGAGCAGGAGGCAACCACACTTCAACAGGGCACGAGGAACACAGAGGTGAAAAATGAAAGAATGGTAAGGCCGAGTTCAGATCTGAGTTCAGATGTACCAAGTAAGCTCATTACAAGAAAGTAGTAAGACAGTGGGTTTATTAAACCAATAAATCTTTGATCTTCCTTCTCGGGTATGAAGAATATCCCATGAAGAGGGAATTCTTGTGATGGGAAGAGGATGAGAATGTTCACAATGTACCTTTATGTTATAGGAAAAGGACAAAATAAAATGTCCTCAAAAATCCAAATATAGCACACAGTGACTGGAACTCTCCAACCCAACTGTGGAGGGGCAAACGAGTGAAAGCCCTTTGGAAAACTCTTTGGCAGTATGTAGAAAAGCATATTGCATGTGACATATAACCCAGCAATTCCACTTCTAGGGGTCTACCCCCAAAAGGCTGCGCACATACTTCAACCAAAGACCTTTACGAGAATGATTACGGCAGATTAACTCATAATGAATGCAAACTGGAAATGATCCCAATTCCCAACCACAGAAGACTGGATAAATAAAATAGTCACACAAAGTAATGTTATACAATGAAAACAAACAGCTGCCAACTCCAAGCAACCCTGCGGAAGACCTTCACCAACACCGCAGCTGCCAACTCCATGCAACCCTGCGGAAGACCTTCACCAACACCACACTGAATGAAAGAAGCCAGACACAAAAGTGCATTTAGGCATCATCTGCTTCCACTTACACAAAGTACAAAAACAGACAAAATTAACCTATATTGTTAGAAAGCAGGATAACAATTAGCTTGGGGTGAGGGTGGGGAGAAGTGGCTAGAAAGGAGTGCGAGGAGAGCCCCTGAAATCTGGTGAAGTTCTGTTCTTAACCTGGATCCTGCTGATGGATGTATTCCATTTGTAAAATTCATCCCACTGAGGGTATTTTAGGTATTTTATTTAGGTATATTAGGTATTTTCCTATATTTATATTTGTGCATGCATGAAAAATGGACAGCAGTCTGTCCCCCTTCCCTATACCCAGATCTTCCCTAGGTAACTCTTTACGCCTGCCCACTCTGACTCTGGGCGTGGCCACGCCAATGAAATCCTGAAAAATGCCGCGTGTTTCTGCTCCAGCTCTTGCTCCTGTGCAATTTCCATGAAAACATACCCACGCTAGTCTGCTGGAGGAGAGCACTGCCAATGTGCCCAGTCGTCGGAGCCAAGGGCATCCCAGATGAACCAATAACCAGCTGATTCCCGGATATGTGCATGAACCCAGAGATCAGAGCTATAGTTCAACCAAGCTCAGACTAAATCACCAGCACTACACAGGTTGTTAAGAGGCACTGTTGTGTAATAGACAAGTGATAAAATTGTACACATCAATGTAAAGTTAAAAATAGACATCTAATTTTTAAAAAATGGGGAAAACAAAAAGATTTCTCTTTACACATCTATTTTTGAGTATGGCCACACCAGGTAGGAGAGACTGTCAAGATCCTGCAAGACCAGTGTCCCAAAAGCACAACATGACATCCAAGTAAAACACAGGCCTGAACCAGTGAAAAATAACTGGAAACCCAACATACAGAGGTTCTAAAAGGCACCTAAAAAGTTCTCTCCTTCTATTTCCTAGAAGATGCAGAAGCAAATGTCTACTTCTCCCATTTCCCCTTTTTTTTTTAAATTCCCATTCACTCCACTCTACTTGATATCAGGAGCCCTTTCACAATAGTTAAGATGCTATACAGATATAGTACTTTAGTTTCTGATTCTGCTTTGGACATGTTTCATCTTGAAAGTAAAAGGAAGGAAGGGAGTAAAGGAGGAAGGGAGGGAGGGAGGAAGGAAGGAAGAAAAGGGAAGGAAGGAAGGAAGGAAAAGAAAAGAAAGGCATGAGGGAAGGAAGGAAAGGGAAGGAAGGGAGGGAGGAAGGGAAGAAAGGATGAGGGAAAGAGAGAGAAAGAGAGGGAGAGAGAGGAAGGAAGGAAGGAAGGAAGGAAGGAAGGAAGGAAGGAAGGAAGGAAAAGGAAAGGAAAGGAAAGGAAAGGAAAGGAAAGGAAAGGAAAGGAGGAGGAAAGAGAAAAAGGAAGGAGGGGAGGGAGGGAGGGAAGGAAAGGAAAGAAGGAGGAAAGAGAGAGAAAGGAAGGAGGGGGAAGAGAGAAAGGAAGGAAATAGCAGGAAGAAAGGAAGAAAGGAAGAAAGGAAGAAAGGAAGAAAGAAAGAAAGAAAGAAAGAAAGAAAGAAAGAAAGAAAGAAAGAAAGAAAGAAAAGAGAAGAGATGAAAGAAAGAGGAGGGAAAAAAAAAAAAAAGCCCTGTGGATACCCTTGGCAGGGCCTTTCCCAAGATGAACAATGATGGACTTGAAAGTCCAGCTGGTCTTCTAGCATGTGGCTGAGCAATGTCTGTCTTACCTGGATTAACCTGAGCTTTCACAGAACTCAAGAGGGGCAGCAGCAGGAGCAGCACCAAGGGCATCCTGGGAACGGAGGTCAGCTCAGAAGATGGTGTTGGAATTGGAGCCTGGAGCCCACCAAAAAAGGTGAGAAAACAAGAAAAAGGAGAGGAAGTGAGTGAGATAAATACTACCAACATTGATTAATACAATTTGCATGATTATATTTGTTGTTCTTAGAGTCTTTATTTCTGTATCTGGGACTTCAAATCATAGACTGAGAATCAGGTGGGACATTCAATGATCACATAATGTAAGAATTTCCAAACTCTTATTAGATCATGGAATTAAAATTAGCAAAACTATAGGCAGGTAACAAAGTTTTGCTAAGATACATACTTATCCAGGGGCGCCTGGGTGGCTCAGAGGGTTAAAGCCTCTGCCTTCAGCTCGGGTCGTGATCCCGGGGTCCTGGGATCGAGCCCCGCATCGGGCTCTCTCCTTGGTGGGGAGCCTGCTTCCTCCTCTCTCTCTCTGCCTGCCTCTCTGCCTACTTGTGATCTCTCTCTGTTGAATAAATAAAATCTTTAAAAAAAAAAAAAGATACATACTTATCCAAATTGTGAATGGTGATAAACTAAAACTTAAATTTATGAAGTTTTCATAACCTTGATACTCATTCCAATATTAAACCAAGAAAAATAGTCAGTGATGTTAATGTGTTTGCCTTTCAAAAGGTAAGTATTTATCCTGACTTACTGGCTCTGGAGTGGTAGGTGCCTGGGATTCTCTATCTTTAAATTTCCCCAAATGACCCGTGTGGTAAGGGCTTAGAGTTGAGACATTAGTTTGAACTCAAGTTCAGCTTAATAGAGATACATACAGTTACATATGGAGCGTTTAAAGATATTGCATAATTACAGGTTAGTATATACACATGTGTCTCTAGAGGGCCTAAAAGCCAGATACCACAATAGCAGCAAGTAAGTCTGGTGCCGCCATCTTAGTTTTGAATACTATTTTCCAGTAAAAGGAACCAGAGCTCCCTGGAGAAGTGGCTGATCCCAGGCCTGGGTCAGAACACATACAGAATCTTTTAGTGACAGAAATTGAGAAAGTATATACCCCAAAAATGATGGGGATGTACCAAAGGGACACAGGAAACACTTGAAAGAGTTCCCAGTGGCCAAAGCTGAAACAATGTGAGTGACAAAATAAATAAAGTACCATTGGACTATAACTCAAGGTATAATAAGATAAATATCTGCAAGTCCATGTTGATATAAATAAGTGATTGAATAAACAAATGGGGGAGAAAAGAAAAAATTCCCATTCAAAAGAATTCTAAATGATTTATGCAGACACTCTGCTCTTAAAGAGGCAGCAAATAACCTCACCCCTTAGGGTGAATGGCACACAGTGGCCTTTTCAGTGAATTTTTCAGTAGAGAAACTTGATGAACACTACCTCAAGCCAGGTGATTGAGGTTAATCTCACCTTTGATAAGTCATATTGATACTACATCTCCTTGATATGATATGATATGATATGATATGATGATATGATATGATATGATGAGAACGGCACTTAGCCTCCATGGTCTTCCTGCTAAGAACTCATTACCTCTGTCTAATCATGAGAAAAACATCAGACCCATCCCAATTTAGGGACACTCTACAAAATTCCTATTGAGTCATCCCCCAAACTGTCAAGATCACAAGAGACAAGAAAGTCCCAAGAAGTCCCAGCTAAGGGAGCCTAAGGAGACATAACAACCACATGTAATGGCATCTTGGGTGATGATCATTGAACAGATAAAGGACATTAGGGGAAAACTGAGGACATGTGAATGAAGAATAGATTTTAGTTAATAACAGTTAATAATAGTATATCAACATTGGCTCTTTCAGTGTAGCAAAGGTACTGTACTAATGTAAGATGTTAATAATAGGGGAAACTTGGTATTGGGTAAACAGGAATTCTAGGCACTATCTTTGTATTGATTCTGTAAGTATGAAACTGTTCTAGAATAAAAATTTTATTCAGAAGTTTCCACCAGGTAACACTAATCATCAACCAAACATTGGATCTACTGTTATAAATAATACATAATTACAAAGGGAGACAAAATTCCATTCAACTGGGGTGATTTCATGGAGAAATCTGATCTGATCAGGGTCTTGAAGGCTGAGTAGGATTATAATGGGCTATAACGGGAATGGAGTAAATAATATGCTAATGTAGCCAAGACCACTTTTGGTGAAACAGAAGCTTTCTATGATGTTTTCTAGGCAGAACTCTGACCTGCCCTCCTCAAAAAAAGTGGTAAAAAAAAGGGGGGGGAGGCAGACGTTCAGATGCCCAAAAAGGATGGAGCAAAAACTAATCAAACACACAAGACCAAAGTAGGCTAATGGTGAAGATGGGGGTGGATGATCCACAGACCTCAAAAGGATGATAAGCATGGTTTCATGGCATGATTTGGATGGGCTAAAATATGTCTTGGTGTGCTGCATCACTGTCAACAGCAGGAACACTCTGTTTCCATAAATGAGTCCCCAGACTAATATGCCCAGAGAAAGAACCACATGGGCAGATCTTGGAGACATTGGTCATGGCTGTAAACCAGCACTGCCCATGGCCATGATCCATGATGTCCTTCCACAAGGACCCAAGCTCCTTACATGCAACCATTTGGCCGTGCAAACCCTGCCTTAGCTAACCACCCTCTCCCTTTGTAGAGGAGTCCTACAATTCTCTCTTATGGCACTTTTCTCAGGAGTTGTGGGCCATAACTTTCCTCCCCTTTAGAACCTTCCCCAGGATTTCCTTCTACAAGGACTGTCTCTTACACCTCACTCCCTTCACCAAAATACACACCAATTTTGCCTCTATTAGGTCCTCCATAACACAGTTACAAAGTGATCCATGGAGTCACTACCTTCAAAATAGCTCATTCTTCTATCTCCAAAAGAGTACTTTATATTTTGTACAAAGCAGGTACTCAAAAATGGTTTTTAACTGAATGAAGCAGAACTCATGGGATGCTCAAAAAATTTAGACTGAATTTCCTTTTGGAAACTGTTCCTTGGTTTCAGGCTGTGAATCTACAAAACAAGTGATCATTTCTGCTTTGCTTGCTGTAAAGTGAGGTGTTGGCAGCTAACAAATACAGAAGAACAAAGTACTCTAACTATACCACGCATCTCTAACCTGTGCCGAAGACTCTCATGTAATATGCACAGTGACCCAATGAGGTGAGTTTTCATCAGCAAGGTAACTGAGGAGGAAGAGATTAAAACTGATCTGGTTACACAGTTAACAGGTGCCAAAACTCATGTGAACCCAGGGTTTGTATTACTCCCATATCCACACAGGTTCTGTTGTTTGTTTTGTCTTTGTCATCATACTGCACTCTCTTTTTGATCTGGCCTCTGCCAACGTCACCAGAGCTACACGCCGCAGGACCTCTGCCAACACGCTTCACGCTCTCTTCATCTGGATCAAACCTCTGTTCAATAGTCACTTCCTCCATGGCCTCTCTGGCCCTCTTGTTACATGCACTAAAATCTTATTATTTTTCTACATAGAAATGATCCTAGCCTCTAATTATGTGTTCATTGCTGTCATGTCTCATTAGGGTCTTCTCCACCGCCTCCCGCCCTAAGTTCCATGTTTATTCTACTCGCCATTGCTTTTTCAACACCCACCAGGGTGCTGGGTAAATATTTGCAGCGTGAATTAATGATTGCCTTGAACCATGTTATTCAGTGACTACATCCAGCCACACTAAATTCCATACCCTAAAAGGAAGTGCACCCAAGGTTTATGATAAGCATACATCAACCTTTTCTGCCCCTTTGAGTGAGTTTTTCCAAGGGTTCCATATTTAAGCCATGTGACATGTGAACAGAACCCACAAACATACATGGAAGAACTTCAAGGAGGTAGAAAGGCCCCTCTGTATCCACTTTTTTGGTCAATACTACAAATTCCTTTGACAAGTTATTGAAGTTTTGAAAATAAAGCTCAAACTGCAAATATCTCTAATCGAAGGTATTCTTTCATCCATCCTCCAGTAACTATTCTCTAAATGTCTATGCGTGCTACTCCATGTGCTAAAAAAGGCAGTTTGGAGCTGTCCTCATGGAGCATGTAATCTATAAGCAAACAAGTAAATAAATAAGAACTCTAAAGAGATGTGTGTGCCATGAAGAAAATACAGTGGGGTTAGGTGGTAGAGAGTGAATGAGGGCTACTTCAGATAAGGTGGCCGGGAAAGCCCTGAGTGTGGGATTGGCACAGAAATACATAAAGAGAACAACAAAGAGAATAGGGACCCAGAAAAGACTCATATGTAAATGGGAACCTACTATACAAGGGGTATTTAAAATCAGTGGAACGGTTCATTTTAACTCAGAAACAAGTAAAGATATATCCATAACTCATACAGAAAAGAGAAAGCCCATAATATAGAAGTAGAACTCTCAAAGTAGTTCAAGGAAGTATAGGAGCATTTGTTAGAAACTGTAAGGAAGGCCTGCACAAATGAGACAGAAAACAAAATCCAAAAACAACAAAAAAAATGATAAAAATCTCATCAAAATGTTACAGGTCTTTGAGACCAAAAGCATCATATACTTAAGAGACAAGCAACAGGCTAACATAGATAATTGACATTTTATAACAAAGTAATATCCTATGATCCATATATTCCACTTATTATTAGTTACCCTAGAGAAAGACTTATGTATCTGCACAATGAGGTATGCACAAAGAAGTGCTTTGCAATATTTTTAAAATTTTACTTTATTTCATTGTGGTAAGAATACTAAACATGAGATCTATTCTTTACCAAGTTTTTAGCATTCAATATATTATTTTGACTGTAGGTACAAAGTTGTACATCAGATTTCTAGAATTTATTCATCTTGTTTAATCTTAATTTTATGCCTATTGATTAATAGCTCTAATTTTATGTCTATTGATTAGTAGCTCCCCATTTCCCTCTAGTAGGTGGAATAGTAGCCACCATTCCACTCTTCCATTAGATAAATTTGACTATTTTAGATCCTTACTATAGTGGAATTATGCAGTATTTGTCCTTCTGTGACTAGTTTATTTCTTT